TCTTTCTATCTCTAAATGCCTTATTCCTATTATAGTCTGGAACTTTCCTACAGCTTCTCCGAATTTCTGATGATACTTTAAGTGATAACCAGCAACCGCTATCAAGTTCTGCCTCCCCTCTTCAGTTCAGCATTGGGCCTGCTATTAAGAGTCCTGGTGCTGGTGATATGGATTCCGTTGCTACTAGCATCGACCCAGGGGACTCTGGCGCCAATGGGGCCACCGGTGACAAGAATGGAATCGAAGATGAGGAAGATGTAGATGATGATGAGGAGGAGGATTACCGAAGGATGGCTGCCATCGGTGTTCTCAACAGTATCAGCAATTTGCTCACCGAAATGGAATCAAATACCGAGGTGATGTCCCAGCTGGAGCCAACCATTGTCCATTTGGTTCAAGCAATCTTCAAGCATGGTCAGGGAGATTTTCTCGAAGAAGCACTCACTCTTGTTTATTCGTTAACCTCTCAGTCAATCAGTCCACTTATGTGGCATGTATTCGATTGGATTCATCAGGCATTTGAGAAAGAATCTGAAGACTGCTTCACAGGTGAATTTCGACGAATATACTTCTCTTTATGTTTGACTTTGGAAAAAGTCCTAGCCTAAGTATTGGGTTAAGGTCGTTTTGGTATTGCTGCCACTCATCTAATTCATCTCGATTCATCTCTTTGCTCTATCATCGAGCGCCTTTTCTGAGTTTTTTATCTATGTGAATCTCAGTTTTCATTTACCGACCGTTGTTCTAGACGGTCATTCTTTTTGGCCTCCTAGCACATACACATGCCCAAAGAAAGAGAGTTCCGTGGAGATACTCAGCGCTGCGCACTTACAAACGCTCTCATCCCAGACTGATTGATCAGGTTTATGACTAATTTTAGGTATTTTGGGGGAAAATCCCTCGCATTCAATTTAAAAACGTGGAAAATCGATGTGGCGGAATAAGTGTTACGCTGAGTCACGACTTATATCCTTAGACTAGCTACTTTTATTACTAGATATTTTATTTTAGTAAACACCAACATGAAGTAATTGGTAATTTACCGGCAAGATGCACTTTGCGTCTATACTCAACTAAGCTAAATGAATGAATATTTATTTCGTGCTTAGTTTCTTTCGAAACTTTACTGGAACTTTACTAAACCTTGGCGACCAGCATCCTAAGGCCTTACTTTATTTTGGAAATGTCTACCATCAGTTCTTACATCGACTTAGAGTGAGTAAAATTTTTGATTGACAAATTTTGCATCTGATCCTATAGGTTAGCCACAACTATGACGATTTTAGCTTTGCTACTTAATTTGAATAATAAATATGAATTTTTTGGATGCGATGTTGATAAATGGCGAATTACACTCATTATCCATTGTCTTATGATATTTAGAAGTTGCTCAGTAAGAGCACTGAGAATAACTTAGCACCGTTTGGGAAACTAATGATCAGTAATAAAATGGTAATAGGAGAAAGCAAGCAATTAAGAATGAATATGCAGTAAATTGTGTAACCTCCCCGGAAGGACGAAACCAGTTCAATAGATTCGTAAAATGCCTGGGCAGCATATGCGGATAAAGATTTTTTATTATATTGCTTCGGGAAAAATCTAATCAAGTCATATCTGGCGTATTATAGATCTTCTCTGGAATAGCCAAGTTTATGCGTCAGCGAAACGATCCAATCAGTCATGTCCTGCTTGAGAGCACAAATCTGGTGAGTAGGCCACTAAAGCCACCCCATAAGGATGGGACCACTATCAGTTTAATGTTTGAACTACTTTTAAGGCAAGGTGGCCCAAATTCATATCACCAATGTAACTTGAGATGCTATTCTGGTAAGTAAAGATGGAACTATAGAAGTTGTTTGACCTTGTTTTCCCAACTCGGTCATATTTATAGGAAGACTTAGAGGAACGCACCTAGTCCGTAGTCCATTGTATGCATCATCATTTCCAGAATAGGACCGTGGACGTGGTACATTCCCAGACGTTTCGCCGGCATCTTCAGTGAAACTCGCCACTCGTAGCACCATATTACAACTCGTCAAAGAAACAAATGAAGCCCATCCTTTGACCAAACGTGTGCTAAACAGTTGTGTTATCTCCCCTTCTGACCTGGGCTATTCAAATTTCCTATATCGTCCTATAATGCCTTCTCTGTCCAAATTTTTACCGTGCTTGTTTTTAATGTAGTGTGGTGTGCCCCTTCGAACGGCATTCATGAAAACCCTTCACACTTCAGACTGTCGTTATCACCCCCTTCACCATTGTGCTGGGAATGCTGACCGGAGTCTGTCATATTGTTAAGCAGTCCTTCCCTGGGTCCTATCAAAGTATCCCTCTTGCCCCGCCGAATCCGTCTGCTATTCCCCTGGTACATGTATTTCACTCGACCCCTGCACCTGGGTGATTGATTAGAGGCTAAAGCCTCAGAGTAAGTCTCATGGTCATGCCTTTGCTACATGGACCATGTCTCTTGTAAAACCTACTGTCAGCCAACTAGTTCCAATCGCCACCTCGTCTATCCTGTCTATATCCCTAATAGCAAGCCTATGATTTGCCATGCCCTAGTTGCTTGTGTGCCAATCCACAAATGTTGTGGTACTGCTTGCTTTGATTAGGTTTAATGTTGAACCACAACGTTTGTGGGTTGGCACACAAGAGACTAGGGCATAGCAAGTCATGGACTTGGTATTATAGATAGAAAGAGCATAGAAACAGTGAAAGCTAGAGCTAGTTGGCTAACAATAGTCGTAATTCAAGGATCATGCTTATGATTAAACAGGTCTATTGCTAGCCGAATAACATTAGTCTTTCCTTTCTCTTTCTGTAATACCATGTCCATCGCTTTCTACATCCTAGTCTCTTGTGTGCCAACCCACAAATGTCGGGGTTATACTTGTTTTGATAAGGCTCACTTAAGACGTCTCCTCTGCTTCTGAATGTTGCTTTCTCATCCCCTTACGATCTTTTTAACTAAAATTAAGCATATAACTTTGATCCAGTCATCTTTTTGCTGATCTTACTATTGCCGACTTTGCTTAGGCAAGATGCAAAGTTTTCGCTAATCCGCTTAAAGTCTCATGTTTATTAGATCTCTGTCAGCTTTACAAGAGATGTGATCCATGCAGCAAAGGCATGGTCATGAGACTTACTTTGAGGCTCTAGCTTCTAATCCATCACAAAGATGGAGGGGATGGACGAATTACGCCTCGAATAGCACAGAGGGGGGGGGCAGGGGTCGAGAGAAATACATGTATCAAGGAGATAGCAGACGGTTCGACGGGGCAAGAGGGAGACTTTGATAGGACCAAGGGAAGGACTACGTAACAATATGACAGACTCTGGTCAACCTTCCCAGCACAAGGGTGAAGAAGGTAATAACGACAGTGTGGAGTGTGAAGGGTTTTCATGAATGCCGCTCGAAAGAGCACACCACACTACATCAAAAATAAGCACGGTAAAAATTTGGACTGAGAAGGCATGATAGGACGATATAGGAAATGTGAATAGCTGAGGTCAGAAGGGGAGATACCACAACTGTTTAGCACACGTTTGGTCAAAGGATGGCTTCATTTGTCTCTTTGACGAGTTGTTATATGGTGCTACGAATGGCGAGTCTCACTGAAGATGCCGGCGAAACGTCTGGGAATGTACCACGTCCACGGTCCTGTTCTGGAAATGATGATGCATACAATGGACTACGGACTAGGTGCGTTCCTCTAAGTCTTCCTACAAATATGACCGAGTTGGGAAAACAAGGTCAAACAACTTCTATAAAACGAAAGGAGACTGTGATCATACAAAAGGCCACACTATCTTGGTCTTCATACTTTCGATTAAAGATGGAACTTTTTATAGAACTAGGGAACTTCTCGCAAGACGGCTTTTCCAAACAATATCTCGTTTAAGATGATAAATGATTGTTATTAGAATTTTCCTACAATGATATGAGTAGAACTAACGTTTTACATAGCCTTGTTTTCTCAAAAGTTGCTTGCATTTAGGATGGACTGCAGTTGCGACCTCGCCTAGATCTTATCAGCACTCCCAGCAGGATTCGAATCGTAACAATGCAGCATATGAGCTTAACACGTTCACCACTCATCTCAATTGATTTACTGGTAGTCTGGAAATTCTGCCTATATGCAGAATATGTGTGCCAACCCATTATTGTCGGGGTTCTATTTCTTTTGATTTGGCTCACTGAAGACGTCTCCTTCGCTTCTGATTGTTCCTGTCTCGTCCCCCTGCGATCTCTTTTCCTAAAATTAAGGATATTACCTTGATCCAGTCGTCTTCTTTTTGCTGATCTTGCTGTTGCCTGGTCTTCTCCTAGTTTGTTTAGGCAATATGCGAATTTTTCGCTGATCCTGTCTTCTTCAAGTCTCCTGTTTATTAGATTTTTCTTGGTCGGTATATCGATGGCCTCTTGGATCTCGTGTTTTCTTGTATTTTCACCACATGTATCCAAAATTTCGGTCGATTTCCAGTCGATTTCGTGCCCCGTTCGTGCAATGTGTTCCACTATTTCGCATCTTTTCGTATCCATGTTTCTGCAGAGTCTTTGATCTTCTTTGATTCGTAGGCTGATTTTTCTTCCTATTTCACCAATATACTTTTTCTCACAGTTGCCGGATTTGACGCCTTGATCTTTGATGATCTTGGTCTTCATACCCACTTTATATGTTCTATTTTGTTATATTATTCGTGCCGGTTGGTCAAGCTAATGAATAGGCTTGTCTTTTCCTTCAGACTTGTACTATTCTATTTCAGTAGTAGCGGCCACAGCTATTATATTGTATTGGCTTGTCTTCCTTTACAGTTTTGCACTTATGTAAGAGGTACCACAGACAACTGAACAATTTAAATAAAGCTGGGGTTGTGTAGTCTGTGAGTAAAGCTTCGCGTGAGCCTAATTTTCCATGGTTAAATCTTCCTGGGGTGCTGGTGATCGAAGCCTTGGTCACTCTTGTCCACGGCTTCTTCGGGCTGAGATCTCAAGTTATTTTATTTTGAGGTGATCTAAAAGCTTCCGTAATAAAAATTTATTCGCCTTTTACATTTCCTTAATATTTTGTAATTAATGAAATGCATTGTTCTTTTAGATATGGTGCCTTGTCTTCACAACTATATCTGTGTTGATAGAGAAGCATTTTTGTCAGACCCTAAGCGAATTGAGTCAATCTTCTCTATGTGCTCAAAGGTGAGCCTTTAATGGTTTTCTGATTTTTTTACCCACCAACTTATATGAAGATTATTTTTAGTAGTGTTAAATGATTGAGCAAGAAATATCACATTGGCTCGGAATTGGCTTCATCATTTTACTCTCATGGTTCAGATTAATCTCATTTTATCCAAAATATTTTTTTATGGAATTCTCAGGCCTTAATATAGTGGGCTCAACCAGAATAAAATAGTTTGGACAAGGTACACATTCTCGTGAATTCGTATGATAATTATACCAATTTGAGTTTTGATGTATTGCGATATTTTTAGAGAGAATTTCATTTTATATGAAATTGCATGCAAGAGATTCGAAAGTCGATCTCATCAGAAGAGGACGGTTTAATCCCGTTTTACTTCAGCCGTTTGGCTTTAATACGACGTTCAGGCT